TCGAGCTGGGTCGAAAGCTAAGTCTGGGTGCATCGACTTACTTTCACACTACGCATCTACATGAAAACCGCAAAGCCTAGAAACCACCAGCAGCCGTTCACCCTGTTTACTCCGCTGCATTGCCACACCCCACGTGCCAGTAAGGGGCGCTAACCCTAATAAACTCTGCTAAGTCATCCCGGACGAATGTCTAATTCCAGTAGAATTGGTCACGACTCCCGTTTAGTGAAAGGACTCGAAGAAGCCGAGGTCGCTCACAGGATTGCATATCCTTCTCCATACAACGGGCACATTTGCAGTGACTCACTTTGCACAGGCAAGCATGCACCAACGCTTACCGCCGCCAACGAGTATACACGCACTGGCCGCCTACGCCCGTCCGTCTGGCCAATCACCTGTCAAGGCCGACTCACACGAACGCCGCTCCAGATGCTGTGGCGATTCCCGCGTTCACCTCACTTCAGACGTGGTGCTGTGGCCGGCGGTTGCGCAGTCATCTGACGATCAAATTCCTCTTGCCTATTCTCTATTCCTTCTGTACAGAATAAACTGTTCCTTCCGCTCTGGCCCCCCATGTCTTCTCGTCTCATAAGGAACCGGGTCTGAAGATCACAGTTGCCAGAGTTCAACTTCCTTAACCCCCTGTGATACCTTCATCTGGTTCAGCCCGCCCAGCGAGGAAAATTACAGTGGTGTGGCCACCGTTCCGAGTAAAATAATCCGCCGCGTGGCTCGCATAGGCCACTGCATATCAGAGAGTAGAGTCAGTGACGCACCCGTCCCCTTAAAACAATACAACTGATGCGTTCGAAGTAACGACATACCGGTCACAGAGAAGAAGACGATTCGATCGCTGGGACGATACTTTTATTCGCCTGACGTTTCGAGATCCGTCGCGGATTCGTCCTCAGAGACCTAGTCAGATAGCAGTAGCAGATAGGGTCCACTATCTGGTACCTGCCAGTCTTGGACAATTGCCAACCGATGATTTAATTAAACCCTGCAGAGGACTGAGACGCAGATTGCGATGGCTTCAACTAACATTTAGTTACTCTATGCAAGATCAAAGACCTCCTCACAGAGGCACGACAGCTTTGGAATTACGAAGTATGTAATGTGTTAGACGGATAAATTGTTTGGTTTTGCCAGCCTCTACGTCCACGCCCACATCCGGTCGTGGACGTTACCTCACCATCAAAATAAGGTGGATACCGGAAGAGAGTATTTATTCAGGGCTAAGTTGCTATGAACAAGCTTGCGCGACAATCACCACCACACCCGAATCATGGAGCAGTGGTAGATCTCAGCAACTGTGATAACCCAGCTATCGTGGCAGCAACACCACATGTTAACGCCATCAGAAGTGATTAACCTTGACGAGGCTTTTAGCTAAGATAGCGGAGAGACTTTCAGAATTAATAACTGTTAGGACGGCACAGAAAATGAACCAACACTCTTGCCCTTAAATACGATGCCACGGACAGACAGCGGGACTTGCTGCCCACGGAGAGTTGTTGGACACGCGAACGACTGGCTGCACACGGGAACAACTTGACGGACACGCAGAGAAGCTGATGTACACACAGAGAATGTTGCAGCAAATTTGTTCTCCGATATCCTGTCTGTCTTCTATTCCAAACACACAACTGGGAACATAAGAATAGCAAAAGAAGCAATCCTTGGGTCCGACTGATTCAGAGATGACTGAACATCAACGACACTGCCGACAGAGCTAAGGTTTGAAGCGGCGACCAGACTGAGACTACAAATAAATATCGACTAGATCTTCGCCACGACTGCTATGCGGGCTTGACATCCTTTCAAAGATAGGGTGGATTAAGAGAGCAAGTTAACAAACCGCTGCATATGGTCTTCGACTCCGCGAGGAGGTAATAAAGAGAGAAGAGTACCTACACGTGGGTGCATAAAGTGAATACATGGAAGATGAAAGACAATACAAAGCAAAAAATATGCAATCCAAAAGTACCAGGCAGACTGAAGTGTCAAGTTTACAAAAACAGGAATGCCAACATGACAAATGTACCGCGCGGGAGAAAGCCGCAAATATAAAGTGTATCACAGAAGTCAACGATAGCCAATGGAATGTGCAGACCGACGAAAGACACAAAGGAGCACAAAAAACACGAAGACGAAATAAACAATCATAGGAAAATGACGGAAGTAGAAAGAAAATAGGGAAAGGCAAAAACACGAAATGAAAAAAAAACAGATGTTGAGGAATGTGTCGGATGGACTGTATGTGCGAGAGAGAGAGAGAGACATCTGACCATCAGAGCTCCCAGCTGAAGAGGTGATACTTGACTAGCATGTCGCCGGTGGACTCCGTGTCTCGTTTAAAAGCACCAAAATCACAGTCGTCGGAGGGATCAAGTGGACGCACACCGAGATGCAGTTTACTCAGCAACCGCAGTGGTAGTTTAGCCTTGTGAAACGATTTGTGCTCATAAGTAGTCAAAGCCTTTGAGGAGGAGTCCAACTGGGCGTCAATTTCCCACAGTGGATACAGATGGAAGGCGAACTGGCTGAGGACTCTGGACGATGTGGAGATGGAAAAAGTATGGGATAAATTACAAGAAAATGTACTAAACTAGGTAAATAATTGAAAGAATGGTCTTGGTTGAAGGAATTCTGATATTTTACATTAAAAAAATATACCAGCAGTAAGCGAACGAGATTATCGAGCCTCCAGGAAACTGGGCGTCGGATGGTTAGGCTGTAAATGTTGCCCAAACCGAGTTATCACTGTCTAATTACGCCTTGTCCAGTCATGTCCATCGGACCAATCAGATACTGTGCTCGAGCGAGTAGCGACTCGATTGGCTTGTGACTCATTCGGCTGGCTTGCTAGAGTCCTAGCCTGGCCGCAGTTTTTAATTTTCAAATTATTGGTTAATTGCCAGCTTATGTGCGCCGCGTGTAGGCCTATCGAGAAGCTGTCGTGAGCGCAACTCGCTGTCTGCCAGGTCGTGTGTCTGTTAGGGCGGCTCTTAACAGGCCAGATTATGCAGCCCCATATGTCATGAAAAGCAAGAAACCAGACCACCAGGAAGCACTAATATTTCGTACGTTCCTGTGAGCTATGTACCTAAAGATAGCAAAATACGCACAGCTCCCTTGCTGGTCGTATTTACTTTTGAGTTTCTGCTACGATTCCGTGGTAGACAGGAGTCCCCCGTCTGTGCTCCCGAAACCGCCGATTTAATTATAGAAATTATTTTTTCGGCAACTAAATAGAAAAAAAAGTTTGCTGAAAAATGTGGCTTATGCTTACTTATTGGAGCTAAATGCAGCACGGAATACGTGCTTGTTGAGAGCGCACATCGAGCCCGGTTTCAAATCCAAGGTCTTCCAGTGAGTAGGACGTGGCAGCTCGATTATCTCCATCTCTTTTATAGCACTTTAAGAGAAACATGAGAAGGCGGGCTTTAAAAAATGTACCGAAGTAAGACATGAGGACTGAGGTCGCTGTCAACGAATCCCCAGATAGGCCAATGTTTCGAATACACAACTGTGTTGGCTCGTAACCAGAAAGATGGGGAGGTCTGCCGCAATCAAAAGCTTGTAACTCAGGTTGGCGAGACGGCGAGGTTATCATCGAAACTCGTCTTCCTTCTCTCGAATCTACCCGTCGGGACATCAGAACCTTGCTTCTACAAACGGTAATCGCGCTGATCTTTTTTATTAACTAGCAATCCCCCTCTCCATCAAACAATGAGTGTAACTATGAAACGCCAGAATATGACGACTTGCACTGCTTTAATGGCTCGATAAGGAATTTGGAAGGAAATTGTTTTTCAACAAACCTATTCACCAAACGGTCATTTTCAAAAATCTTAAAACCATGTATATATGGAGATGAGCAAAGTAATCGAGGTACCTTAGTTCACACTTAATTTGCACCCATCCGGGGCTTCGCAGGAAGGACCAGGGATGGTAGCGTTTTGTGACGACTTCCTCACACGAGCACAAGATCTCCAGCCACAAATGAAGGACAAGTTCGCTTAACAGAAGGAAAAAGAATATAAGTTTAAAAATAATTTTAAAAAACGCTCAGAAACACTGATGAAAATAAAGTTGCCCCTAATATGTGGGCCAAAAGGTGTTTGGCTATACGAGGAAGACCGGATAGATGAAAAGTTAGTCAGTGTTCTCCTGGAGAATGCCACTGCCATGTGGCCTGCTTTACACAATCTGCATTACCTCCTGTCCGACTTTTTTTCCTATTCAGCATTGCGCCCGCCCCACCTCAGGCGACCGATCAGCTAGGCGGTGGCTTGTTGATGGCGGTGTGGGGAGAGAGTGAGGTCGACCCTCAGCGCATTTTTTTCTCACTAAAAACAATCTGATGCGCTTCAAGCTATCGCGGTGCGCAAAAGGCCATGGCATGGAGGGTTGCCAAATGACGGGATAACTGGGACACCGCAGTCGGCCCAGTGTGTGTCTTGTTGTGTGGAGTGGCTTACCGCAGGCTGAAAGTCAGGCGCAATGGCTCTTTCTTAATGTGGCCTTTATGGCGCTCCCTGTTGGGAGTCTACCTAGCGAGGTGTTGAGTTTTGGTCGCGCCAGCCGCCTGCGCTCTCCCTTACCACACAGAACCCGGTGTGGGAGTGGTGAGAGAGTGGAGTAGATTCATCGCGAGATTACTTTCACTATAATCCCGCGGGAGTCACCACGTTGCTTTAAATTGCTAAGGCTTGTGGTGGACATCGTCGAGAGCGACGGTCGAACTGTCGTGTGTCACGAACAACATGAAGCTAGTTAGCAAAGCCGCAGGCGTTCACACAGTATCAAGCCTGAATCCCCTGAAAACAAAGTAAAATCTACATATGAGTACGTGTGACACAGAGTGCCACCCGTTACTTGGATAAGTATGGAACGAAGTTTTACATCAGACTAGGTGGACAAGGTTTTACACACCGATATTATCAAAGTTGCCAAGATAGCTATACTCTTCCTAACATTACACGAAGAGGCAATGTCACTAAACGAGTGGAAGAAAGAAAATTTTGTGCTTTTTTATCGATAAAACGTATATTAATTAATGAGCACCGAAAACCAAGGCACAAATGTCTGTCCCTTAAGTAGCCTCTGTTTCCCAAAATGTGGAGTTTGCAGGCCTCCGTAAAGAAGCGCAGGCGAAAGCCGGACTCCTTGCGTCACTGAAACCTCTTGCAATTATGTTACATGATAATAAATATCACGAACAAGCCTAAGCAATCTTTTCTAAGAGAAAGTGAATTAGAGATGTTCGGTTGACATGCCCTGTTCTCCTAGACTTGCTGTCATATGAATATTTTTTGCATTAATCAACACTAATTGGCACTTATTTTAAAATTATTTGATTCGTTCGGATAACCAGGCCTTTCTAGTTTCCAAACTCCACGTTTCCTTTTGTCCCTGCGGAAATTGACTGTACAGGCTTGGGAACATTTGGTTGTGAGTGTAGTACTTATATTTCGCTAATCTCCTCACATCGAGGAACCGTGCTTTTGCCCAAACCAGTTACTGACTGCGTTTCACCTACAGACTGCACGAGGTGAACTCACCTAAGCTAAGTGATATAGACGGACTTAAAACGACTGGCTCAATAAAACTCTAGTGGAACCATGGCGGATAGACGACAATGCTGTCCCCCGCTCAATGCTCGCTGCGTCAACGTTAGGTGTCTTTGCAGGCCGCTGTTTCCTACTCGTTGACCTTAAAAC